AGCACAGCCCTGCCGACAGACGCAAAGACAGGTCGATAGAGATCGTCTGAGGGGAAAGGAGACAGAGAAACATCCTGAACAGGGGAGAAAAATCACAGAAGTTCCACGCGTGAGACCCACGGGACACCAGGGGGCCAGCTCGGAACAGGAGTCCCGGAACAGGGGGGTGAGACGGGCAGAAAACTCTTCAAAGAGACAGCAAATGGCAACATTTTGAATTTGATGAAAAATCACAATCTACATATCTAAGAAACCTGACAAACTCCAACCAGGATAAACAAAGAAACCCACAATTGGGACCTGACAGTCAAACCTTCAGAGGCAGACAAAGGGCAACCCACTTTCCGGGGCCCCTCCCTTCTTGGGGGCTGTTTCCCTCCCCCTCCTTCAATAAACTCCCCGCTCACTGTACCTACTCTGTGTCTGAGACTCGAATTCTTCCTGAGCTTGGGGCAAGAACCCATGGCTCACGGCAAGTGTGGGCCCGACCACCCTGCACACACACACCCCCTCCCTGCGTCAGCTGGGAAACACCTAGATGCCCTCTTCAGTCGGAATGACCCATCGAGCTACAAGGTGGTTGGGACAGTCTCTAGGGAACGCCCATCATGCCTTCCAGCAGGGCTGCTAGACAGACCTCTCTAGTAGAAGGTCCTTAACTGCCTCCCCCCATCCCCATTGCAGCCCAATTTCAGATCCTTGTACCCCTAACAGCAGTTAGGGGTTCCTCTGCAGAGGGGGGGAAGGGGGAGGAGACAGGGACCCTAAAAATATAGTTAGGATGTGGGCCCAACAGGGAATCACAAATGGCTGAGTTTTGAGATGAGACAAAGCAGCCCTCTGCTTGCTCTTTGAGAGACCTCTTGCAGAGGTGACTTGGTGACTGACCTAGGCAGTGCGAGCTAGACCTTAAACAAAGGCTTTTTCCAGGCCCCACCACATTCCAGAAAGAGGAGAAGATAATGGATTCCATGGCCCAAAGCTTCTAGACAAAGAATCTCCTGACCTTGGTACCCACTGCAAACAGGAGAATAACTGGACCCACCCAGCATGCGCCCCTCCCACCAGGGGAATGCATGCACAAGCCCCACCTAGAACCAAATAAAAACCCCTGCCACAGTTCTTCCCCGGCAAGCTGTTTTCCGGGACCCTCCCTTCTTGGGAGCTCTGCTTCTCCTTCCCTCTCCTTCAATAAACTCCCCACTTTGCTATACCAAAAAAGGGAAAGAAACAAAGGTGACGAAAAAACCGAACGTGTGAGAGAACACAACTCATCACACACAAGGGAACCCCAATAAGACTGACGACTGGCTTCTCCTCACAAAGAACAAAGGCTGTGGGACCGGCAGGTGGCGTGGTGGTTAGGGGTGCTGGACTCCCACACGGCCAACTACAGTTCGAGTCCTGAACCTGGCAGCTAGCTTTCCCACTTTTTCCTCTCACTCTGTCCCTCTCTGGTCAAATTTAAATAAATAAATAAATAAATAGTTAAAAGAATTCTTAAAAAGAAAGAAAGAAACAACAATGGATAAACAGGAGTGATCTCTTCAAAAGGAAAATGGAAAATAAAAGCAAACAGCTGTCACACAAGAATTCTACATACAGCAAAACACTTCCAAAAGTGACGGCAAAATAAAGACACTCCCTGATGAACATGGTAAGCCATCACTGACAGCAGACCCTGCCACATAGAAGTACTTCAGGTTCAAAGAAGTGACACTTGGTCAGCAGGTGGTGTGGTGGTTAAGGTGCTGGATTCCCACACAGCCAACTGAGGTTCAAGGCCTGGGCCCAGCGGCTTGAAAATAACAAATAAATAGATATATAAATAAGTAAATGTTTTTTTTGTTTTTTGTTTTTTGTTTTTTTTAAAAAGGAAATGACACCAGAAGGTCACTCGAATCCTGTAGTACAGGGGCCAGCAGGTGGCATGGTGGTTAAGGGTGTTGGAGTCCTACATGGCCAACCACGGTTCAAGTCTCGGACCTGGTGGCTTGCTTTCTCACTTTCCCTCAGTCTCTCTCATGTCAAATTTAAAGAAAGAAAGAAAGTTAAAATATTTTTTAAAAAAGAACACTAGTATAAGTAATTACATACATGGACATAAAAAGCAATATTTGTTTCTCTTTTCATCCTTTAACTGATTTAATATAACTACGAAAGAAAATATAAAATTTCAGGACCAGTAGTTGGTGTAATGGCTATGTTGCTGGACTCTCGTGTAGTTGACTGTGGTTCAAGTCCCAAACCCAGTGGCTTAAACTCACGCTGGGCACATGTGTGTGCGTGCCCAAGGTTCCCGAAAGGAGAGTGGAGGAGAAGGGATTGCTGCATGGCCATTCCCCTTGGGGGGTGATTTATCGCTTTCTGTCTCTCTGTCTCTGTCTTTCTGGCAAGTGCATGTCTGACAAGTGCATGTCCCCTATACAAAAAACCCCCCCAAAAAAAAAAAAAAAATATATATATATTTAAAATTTGTTAGGCTTACAGTGCATGAAGATGGAATGTATATAATAATTACAGCACAGGGGCCGGCGAGTGGCATGGTGGTAAAAGGCGCTGGAGTCCTACATGGCCAACCACGGTTCAAGTCTCGGACCTGGTGGCTTGCTTTCTCACTTCCTCTCTCTCTCTGTGTGTCTCTCTGATCAAACTGGAAAATATAATGATAATAATAAATAAAGTTAAATAAAATAATTCTTTAAAAAATAATAATAATTACGGCACAACAGCAGGGGAACTACTGACTTAGACAGGGTTGCGATGTGGCCAACCCCCTGGGGGCGCTTTCTCACTTTTCTTTCTCTTACTCATGGAAACTCAGGAGCAAAGTTTCTCAATTGTAGTGGAATTAAACTGGTAAGATTCTGAATTAGATTATGATATGTTAATGAATATCGTAACCCCTAGCATAAACACTAAGGAAAAATTTAAAAGGTTAAAAGAAGCAACAAGGAAAATATCTAATTCAAAAGAAGGCAGAAGAGGGAGGAACAGAACAAGAATGACTGCTCCTGAAGAAAGCAACGGCACACTGGCTATGTAAACAGCCACCTCAAGCTTCACATTACATGCAGGGCTGCTCTGTGGTACAGCGGTAAGATGTGAGCAGATGGCATAACGGTTACGTCGCTGGACACTCATGTAGTCGACCATGGTTCTTGTCCCAAACCCGGTGGCTTAAAACTTATGCCAGGCATGTGTGTGTGCCCAAAATCATGAGAGGAGAATGGAGAAGGGACTGCAGTGTGGCCATCCCTCCGGGGGACGATTTTTGCTTTCTCTGTCTCTCCAGCGAGTAAACACACCCCATAGCAAAAATCTCTCTCTAAAAAAAAAAACAAAGTGCCACTCTGTAAGGCTGACCCGCATGGCAGGGTTTCTGTCCAAAGACCTCTCTTAGGGTGTTGGGCACATGCGTGGCCATGATCCAGGGCTGGCTAGGGTGGTTTACAGGAACAAGACCTTATAGGAAGTGCTGTCTCTGTCTCTGTCTCTTTCTCTCTTGCTCATGAAAAAAAAACAACCTTCTAAAATAAGGTGGATGGGGCCAGCTGGTGGCATGGTAGTTTAGGTAGCTGATCCCATAAGGCCAACGGTGTGGCCTGGGTCCTGGACCTGGCAGCTTGAAAGTCACACCAGGTGCATGTGCATGCGTGCCCCAAATCCTGAGAGGATAGTGGAGGAGAAGGGACAGCAGCATGGCCAACCCCGCCCCCCAAGGGGTGCTTTCTCACTTTCCTTCTCTTTCTCTTTTTCTCTCTGGCAAGCATGCACATTCTATAGCAAACTTAAAAAAAAAAAAAGGGTAATAGGAATCAAAACTGGCTAAAGAAGGATTCCATTTTTCATCATTTCGTTGTGCACCGGTCACGCTGCGGTCTTCACGTTTATGATGAATGAAGGCTTTATGTGTATAATTTAAAACCAAACGAAGGATGAAGGAAGGGGGAAGGAGGAGAACCCAGAACCCACGCCCAACCCTGTGTGGGGCTCACCGTAGGGCGTGGTGGGCCCCAGCTCGCTGGCCGCCTCTGCCATGTACTGGGCCAGCAGCTCTCCATTGGTGACCCGCGAGGGGACCTTCCTGTCCAGCTTCTCGTACAGGAACTCCTCCACTCGGGCACCTGCGGAGGGGAGGCAGCCAAAGCCACCAGGCTTCATTCCAAACCCGGACACAAACGCCACAGTGATGGAATAGACTCAGACCAGGTCCTGCCCCCGGGATACCCAGCCTGGGACTTCCAGAACAATCTCTTGCTTCTGGCCATCTCGACCCTGTGAGACGGGCTCTACTGACCCTCACTCTCCAGAGGAGGACGCAAAGCTCAGAGGTGTGTCCTCTGAGGCCGCAGGCTGGGACTGACGGCCACAGTTACTCCTGCCATCTTCAGAACTTACGACGTCCGAATAACCCCTGGTCCTGCCCCAAAGGTCTGCGGACACCCAGCCAGACACGGCAGGCGGCCAGGCTCCCGGGCCACCCTTCTTTGCCCGCAGGCTCCTGCAGTCAGTTCTGCCTCCACTCGCTTGCGGTGACTTTGGGCAAGCTGCTTTCCATCTCTGGGCCTCGCAGACCTCTCGAAAAGACTGGGTTTGTGTTTTGCCGGCCTCTTTCCCAAGTATGTTTTAGATTCGGGCATTTCTTTAACTCTTCTGGCAAAACTTAGCATTCTCACTGATCCAGAGAGCACCCTGGAGGCCCACAGTCTCCCGTCTCTGCCCCTGACCCACCCCGCCAGTCCCACTGCAGCCCTGCCGCC